TAACCCAAGAAGGGCAGAACCACCTCATTTCTTCTTGGAAAGTAATTTCAGGAGAAGAGGTAACGGGTTTGGACTAAGTGGAATCCAGGCTTTGCCGCTTGCTACCACATAACCTCTGATGTGATACTTAATTTTGTTAATCTCAATTTCCTCAATAAAACGTGGCTAATAAGATTATTTCAAAATATAGGAAGGTTATAGGAGGTGATCTATGTAGCATATTTGTAGCATAGTGCTGGGTGCATGGTAAGTGCTCAATAAACTTTAGTTGATATTATTGTTATCATTAGTCTAGTTTTTCTTACAGTTTCCATGGGGCTTCATGAATACCACAGGATCAAACCTTTCATTATGCTTCTTAAACAGCCCTAAGTAGTCCCAACTTCTCAAGAAGGTGAAAGGCTAATTTACCAATGAGATGGGGGTAGTATAATAGCAAGTGCTGAATATAATAAGCCTCAGGTTCAAATCCTGGCTCGGCTATCTACTAATGATAATTTTTGGGAAAGTCACTTACTTTGTCCAGTCTCATTTGTAAATTGGAGATAATTCCCAAGTCACAAAGTTCTTACAAAGAACATAATAAGCTACCTAATGTTTTACAAATACAAAGTTATTATTTAGTGAATTCCAGAAACATTCCTAAAGGGTACCTCCTTAAAGCTTAAAAAGGAAAAAACCACAAAAAATTAGTAAATTAGGAACAAACACTATTCCCATCCCCCACTGCCGAGCAATCAGGCATTGAAGTGGCCAATTAGGACAAAAAGCCAAACTGAAAGTGACAATCAATCTTTTTATTTACTGTAACAGTGTAAGCAAAAGACCAAAAGAGGCATGGGCTCACCAGTGTTCCCTTTCTCCGTGTGGAATGGCACCAGGTAAGGATCAAGAGGATGCAGCACAGATGGAGGAAATTGTCCCATTGCCCAGGAGCCCAGGGTGTGAGGAAAGGGAAAGAGCTAAAATTAGAATGGTCCTGAGCCAAAGGAGAGAAAAGTGTCTATGTAGAAGCCACCAATAAGGAGTCCTCTGAATGCAGTCATTTGGGCTAGGAATTGTCAAATAACAAAACTAAAACAATCGAGTAACAAGTTTGATGCCCTTTACTCAAGGGAAACCAATCCATGGATTGGGGATGTCGACAGGAGAGATATCCAACCTTGTAGAGAATTTTTATGAGCCAAACTAATGATGTAAACCAGGAGCAGGGGGTAGGAGGGTAGGTGATTGGGTGGGGGGTGGGTTGATGGGTGGGAATCAAGGCCGGGACTGGAATACAGGACAGTTAACAGTATTTTGTGTTCTCTTGAGGGTTAATACCCTCTTGGAGGGGTATTCTGATATTTCAAAGTTGCATTAATCTAGATGCACAAGAACACTGGGCAGGTTTGGCTTAAAACCTTTCACTACAGAAGTTACAGGTCTGGGGCAAGACTACCTACCATGACTTGCCCAATTCGGAATTTATAATCAGATCACCCTGTGAGGTTACTTTCCATAGAACCCCTTTTTCATCCACAGGGGAGTATAGTGCCTCACAAGCAGTAGAGCATTCTTGCTGAGGGATTTGGGGCAAGAGCAAGAAATTTATAGAACCTTAGACAAGGCAATAAGAAACCAGGGCATGGTTGGCTAGGAGGACGGGGATTTCCTTTTAAGGCCAGCAGGTCCTATTTCCTAGGAAAAGGTAAGCTAGCTAATGCTGAGTTGGAGGATTATGATTGGTGTATGTTAGGTTTCCTCAACAGGTGTTTCCTGAAAGTGAAGGCTGGCTAGGCCGCAATGGAAACCACCATTTTGTGGGTCCTGATATAAAATTTAACTTTATCAGAATGCAGATATACATATGAACATGGCTGCCTAGGGGGTCCTTGACTGCAATCCCTCTAGAAAACTACAGTGCACTGGCTGTGTACCAATTTTGGTGTGGGGAGGGCAGCTTCTCCCAATAGGCCTTCCAGGAAAAGTCTTGTAATTGTGTGTGGTTAGGCCTGAAAGAGCACACACAGGGGTTTGAACTGGAGCCTGCTCCTCACCTAAAGAAAAAAGAATATAAATATTCTTTACCCAACACATAATAAACTTTATTCCGAGAAGTTATATAAACTACAAACCAATAAACTTAATGTGGATGAAAAAGGGGTTCTATGGAAAGTAACCTCACAGGGTGATTTGATCATAAATTCCTAACTGGGCAGGTCATGGTGGGTAGCCATGCTCCAGGCCTGTAGCTTCTTTACTGAAAAAAGTTTAAGCCTCCCCTGTCTATTGTTCTTGTGCATCTAGGTTAACACACCTTTAAAATGGTCTTAGAAAGCTGACAAATTCCATTTTCCTAAAAAGCTGAAACACTTCCTGGGGCAACTTGAATCTTATTTAATACAAAAACAATCTGATTAAATGATTCTTTTAAAGCAGCAGCAGCAACAACAACAACAACAACAACAAACTCATATTACCCATCAACCACCTCTTTGGCCACCTGATCACATAAGGTGTGTCCATAAAGTAATGTTGTTTAACTAAAAACTAGATCTATACATCAAAATAAATGTTGTTCCTTCAAATAAGTCACCTTAAGAGATTACTATTTACTCTAATAATAGTAAAACATCTTTGAAATTCCATTTTCACATAATGTCCTCATAGCAAGCTTATTCTTTTTCATATCCTCAGCGGTGGCGAACTCTTTGCTTTAAGATATATACCCTTTGCTGTCTTTAGGGTAGGTTGTTGTTTTTGTTGCCATAAATGTACAGACTCCCAACATAATTGCCTTGGAAGAATCATATTCATTGAGATATAGCTTCTGGAATGTTCTGTTTCCTTAAACAGCCTTAAACAGTCATACCTCATAAATCAAGTTCACACAGTACAAACTGTACTACCACAAATGATAGTATCCTTTTTTGCTTATTCTTTTTTAAGAAGCCAAAACTATCTGGAAATATGAGCTAAATGTTTTCTTTAATTTAAAGTTTAAAATATATATACAGATAGAAAAAATAGAAAATATACAGGGGAAAGGATCCCTTTTATGATTGAAACAAAAAAATAATGTGAAATACCTAGATACGAACTTAGCCAGAAATGTACAGGAATGACATAAAGAAAGCTATACAACTCTACAGAGGGGCATGGAAGATAATTTTAATAGATAGAAAGGCAGTATATGGGTTTCTGGAGTTTAAGATTCAATATTGTGAGAAAGTAAATTCTCGCCAAAATCATCTATAAAATTAAACTAGTTCCAATCAAAATTCAAAAAGTGTTTTTGGAAAACTTGAATAAATAATTTAAAAGTTCTTCTCGAAGAATAAAATGCAGGAAGCACCAGGAAAATAGTGGACGGGAAATGAGTGATGCTGGTTGTGGTAGGGGAAGGTAAAGGGGGGTGGGCAAGTGCTTCCCTTCCAGACATCAAAATATACTATGAGGGCTCCAAGACGGCAGCAGAGTAGGTGAAAGGTACACTCACCCTCTCCCAGGACCAAACTGGAATTACAACTAAATTACAGAACAATCATCCTGTATAGCCAACTAAAAACTAGCTAAAGAGAAGTCTTATAACCAAGGATTTTCAGAAGAAGCCACATTAAGACTGATAGGAAGGGTAGAGACATGGAAAGGACTGGCCCCACTCCCACGAGCAGCTGAGGTTCCAGAGAGATATCTCAGCTGAGATATCTCAGACCCCCCTGAGAAGCTGGGCTCCCCAGTCAAAGAACCAGAGCTGGGAAGAGATGCATATATTACACATGGCTGTGAAAATCAGCAGGCATTCTGTCCACCAGGGAGTGACAGAAGTCTGCTAGAGACACAGGTGCCCTCTTAAAGGGCCAGCACACAAAATCTCATTTGCAGCCACTCACCTGGGCTCCAATGGAGGGACAGCGCTGTGGAATAAAATAGCATGAGAAGAAACTGAGGTTTGTGGCTCTGAGGAGAGAGCTGAAGGGAGGGCCACCAGAATCCCTGTGCTGAGTCACACTCCCGCACTGCACCTACCATCTTTCTTGGGTAGAGGACTCCCCTTAATAGAGCCTTGGTCTGAGAAAGTAATAGCCCCATCTTCTGGGCTCCCTGTTGCCTTACCCTGTGGAGCTTCTACCCTACTGAGGAGATAGCAGCCTGGGCTGGGGTGTAGAGGTCTGGGCAGATTCAATGAGTATCAGTGACTGAGTTGTGTGACTTTGGGGCAGGGGACATTTCCCCCACTTTCCCATGAGCCTGATTGGCCACCCCCTCATTTCATGGGAAATCCACTAGCCCCAACCTGCTGAGACTGGGCTCCTTGAAGAACCTGGGTCAGACTGAGTTGTGTGGCTCTAATATGGGGGACATTTTTCCTTCACATGTCTGAGTGGTACAGAGCTCTCTCTTCACACAGCAAAATCTACATCTGTTTGGGCCTCATAAACTCTGCATGTCTCACTCTGATGACTCCCTGAGACCCCACACCACAACAAAGGTGTGCAATCACCAAGCAGATGGCAGCTATACTTGGTATACCCTGGAATATTTTACCTCAGACCCAGCACTGGCACAGAGTTTGAACCTGTGTCCATCTGAACACTGAATACTACTCACCCCTACCTGGTGACTCATTGAGAATCTACCTCATGCAACTCACTCAAGTACCACCAGAGGCTCTTTCAGTGACTGAGCCGAACAGGCAGATAACAGGTGGAGACAAGCAGAGGTGGATCTTGAGGTGCTTTGGGACTTTTCCTGACCTACCCTGAGGCCCGATTCTGGCAAAAGCCAGCCTTGGGGCACAGCTTAGTCACACCCAGGCCTAGCAGAGGAAGCCACAAACTGTGGGTTGTGCTGCAGCTCCAAACATGTTGTCTAGGGCCATTCACAGACAGTGTCTTACACAGGCCTGCACCAGAGTCCCTCCCAAGAGGCTCCAGAATCAATACACCCAGTGGGAAAAGAGGAAACATACCTCAGTGCAATATAGACCACAAACCCACAGCCAATGTCATACTCACTGGGCAAAAACTAAAAATGTTTCCCTTAAGATCAGGAACAAGACAGGGATGTCCATTTTCACCATTCGCATTCAACATAGTACTGGAAGTCTTAGCCATAGCAGTCAGACAAGAAGAAAGAAAGGCATCCCAATTGGAAAAGAAGAAGTATTACTTACTGATGACATGATACTGTATATAGGGAACACTAAAGATTCCACCAAAAAAACTACTAGAATTGATCAATTAAATCAGTAAAGTAGCAGGATACAAAATGGATATCCAGAAATCAGTTGCATCTTTCTATGCCAATAATGAACTATCAGAAAGAAAAACTAAGAAAAATGATACCATTCACAATTGCTTCAAAAAGAATAAAACACTTAGGAATAAGTTTAACCAAGGAGGTAAAAGACCTGTATTTAGAAAAGTATAAGACACTGAAGAAAGAAATTGAAGATACAAATAAGTGGAAGCATATACCATGTTAATAGATAGGAAGAATTAACATCAAAATGTCCATACTACCCAAAGCAACCTATAGATTCAGTGCAATTCCTATAAAGATACCAACAGTATATTTCACAGTACTAGAACAAATATTCCAAAAATTTATATGGAACCACATAAGACCCCAAATAGCAACAGCGATGTTGAGAAAGAAGAACAAAGTTGGAGGAATCATGCTTCCTGATATCAAACTGTACTACAAAGCCATAATAATCAAAACAGCATGAGACTGGCATAAAATAGACATACAGGTCAATGGAAAAAAAGAGAGCCCAGAAATAAACCCACAACTTTATTGTCAATTAATATTTGACAGAGGAGGAAAAAACATACAATGGGGTAAAAATATCTATTTCAACAAATGGTGCTGGGAAAATTGAACAGATACATGGAAAAAGGTGAAACTAGACCACCTTCTTACACCACACACAATAATAAACTCAAAATGAATGAAAAACAAGATTTGAGCCCTGGTTGGTGTGGCTCAGTGGATTCAGCACTGGCCTGCAAACCTACATGTTGCAGGACTGATTCCCAGTCAGGGCACATGACTGAATTGTGGGCCATGCCCCCAGTCGGGGGCGTGTGAGAGACAACTGGTCTATGTAGCTCTCACACATTAATCTTTCTCTCCCTCTCTTTGTCCCTCCCTTCCTCTCTCTCTAAAAAATAAATAAATAACATCTTAGAAAAAAAAGAAGTGATTTGTGTTTACGTCCATGTTCAATTAAAAAAAACTTAAGATTTAAAACCACAAAAGTCCTACAAGAAAACAAAGGTAGTAAAATCTCGGATATTGCTCATAGGAATATTTTTTCTGATACATCTCCTTGGGCAAGGGAATCAAAAGAAAAAATAAGCAACTGGGATTACATCAAATTGAAAAGGTTTTGCACAGCAAAGGGAACCATAAACAAAATGAAAAGACAACCCATTGAATGGAAGAACATATTCACTAATGATAACTATGATAAGGAGTTAATATTCAAAATTTATAAAGAACTTACGAAACTGAACACACACACATACACAATTAAAAACTGGGCAAAGATCTGAATAGACACTTCTCCGAAGAGGATATACAGATGGTCAATAGACATATGAAAGGATGCTCAACATCACTAATCCTTAGAGAAATGCAAATAAAAACCACAATGAGATATCACCTTGCACCTGTAAGAATGGCTGTCATCAATAAGTCAACAAACAAGTGCTAGTGAGTGTGTGGAGAAAAGGAAACACCAAAGTGTACACTGTTGGTGGGAATCCAGACTGGTGCAGCCACTGTGGAAAGCAGTATAGAGTTACCTCAAAAAATTAAAAATGGAACTGCCTTATGACCCAGTTCTGAAAATATAACCTGAAACACTAACTCAAAAGAATATATGCACTCTTATTTTCATTGCAGCTTTATTTACAATAGCCAAGATTTGGAAGCAGCCCCAGTGCCTATCAGTAGATACATGGATATAAAGCTGTGTTACATTTATACAATGGAATACTACTCAGCTGTTAAAAAATGGAAATCTGCCCTGGGTAGGTAGCTCAGTTGTTTAGAGCACTGTCCTGATATACCAAGGTTGCAGGTTCGATTTCCAGTTGGAGCACACACAGGAAGCAACCAATGGATGCATAAATAAGTGCAAAAACAAATCAATGTCTCCCATATATCTCTCTCTGTCAAATCAATAACTAAAAAAAAAATAATAAATCAATAAAAATAAGGAAATCTTACCCTTTGAGACAGCATGAATGGATGTGCAGAGTACTATGTTAAGTGACATAAGTCAGTTAGAGAAAGACAAGTACCATATGATTTCACTCATATGTGCAAACTAATGAACAAAATAAACTAACAGAACCTAGAAACAGACTCATAGATAGAGAACAGACTGACAGTTGTCAGAGGGGAGATGGGGGATGCAGGGCTGGGTAAATAAGGTAAAGGGATGAAGCAAAAGAAAAAAAAGAAACTCATAGACACACACAGAGCATGTGATTACCAAAGGAGAAGCGGTTAGGGGTAGGTAGAAGAGGGAATAGGGGGATAAATGGTGATGGAAGGAGACTTGACTTGGGGTTGTGAACACACAATACAACATGCAGATGATGTATTATAGAACTGTATACCTGCAACTTATGTAATTTTATTAACCAATATCATCCCAATAAATTCAATAAAAAATAAAGTACAAGGCATATTTATAAACAAACACCAAAACAATACACTACAAGGCAAGTATATCTTGGTCATGTCTATAGTGCCAGGATATACAGTTTAAGCAGTGGAGGAGAAGAGAAAGTCCAGAAAGTAGTCAAAATGTACATAAGAATATCATTTGTAATGAAGATAGAATTTTACTACAGGAGGTCAAGCCTCGTCTAACCAAAGAACTGTATTAAGAAAATGGGGTACCTGCCCTAGCTGGTGTGGCTCAGTGCATTGAGCACTGGCAAGCGAAGCAAAGGGCTGCTGGTTGGATTCCCAGTCAGGGCACAAGCCTGGGTTGCAGGCCAGGCCCCCAGCAGGGGGCATGTGAGAGTCAACCACACATTGATGTTTCTCTCCCTCTTTCTCCTTTCTCCTCTCTAAAAAAAAAAAAAAAAAAAAAAAAAAAAAACTTAAAAAAATAAAAATTAAATTAAACTTAAAAAAAAAGAAAACAAAATGGGCTACCTACTTGGAAAAAATAAAGTTATATCCCTACTCCATATCTAACACAAAAATAAGTTCCAGATGAATTAAACATTTTAATATAAAAATACTTAATTGACCTAGAAAAAATAGAGGTGAATACTTATTAAAAAGTGGTATAGAAAAGATTCTTTTGAACATGTTATCAAAGCTATAAAGTATAAAAAGAAAGGAAAAACCAAAAAGATTGTTTATAAAAATGTATGGGAAGACATGCTATAACAAAACACCACGCTGTGATGGGTGGTGTGCAGGGACAAACACCCTCACACACTGTCCGGGGAGGTGGATGCACTGAGGGGACTGTGGTGAGACAATGGAAATTTTTAAAGAAAAAGTTTTATGAAAAATTCCATTTGTAGAAATATATCCTAAGAATTTAATCAGAAGGATTTGCCATGGCATTGTTTGTATATTATACTGAAAAACTCCAAACAATCTAAACACTCATCTTTAGAGGGATGACTAAATTACTGTACATTCATATAAAGAAGATTAGGTAGCTACTTAAACTGTTGCTAAAACATACACTTATTGATATGTAAAGAAGTCCATTATTTATTAGGTGGGGGGAAAAGTCAGGTACCTTTAGTGTGATCTTATTTTAAAAAATTAACATATATACCAATAAGTACAGAAAAGGTCTAGAAGAATTTACAGTAGTTATCTTTCATTGAAAGGCTCAAGGAAATTCTTATATTTTCTTTTTAATACATCTGGAAATGTACTTTTCCTTTTTAAGTAAACTTAAATTACTTTCATAATCAGAAAACATAAAAATATTTTTTAAAATTACTAAGTATAAGCGGAACCTAATCAACAATGCAAAGATGCAAGGAAAATATGACCAGCAACACTGAAAGGAAAAGAAATCAACAGAGACAAGAGGGAAGCGGGGGGCGGGCAGGGAAAGGGAAGGGAAGGGGAAAGTCAAGGAACATATAGCAAGGACTCATGGACAAAACCAAAGGGGAAGAGCTAAGGGAGGGAAGGTGGGAGGGGGCAAGGGAAAGAGGTGGGGGGGAGGCAGAGACAAATGTATTTAAAAAGTAAATAAATTAATTAAAATAAAATAAAATAAAATAAAATTGCTAAGTATACAATTCTATATAATATTCATGGGTAGAGGATCCATGCTTGAGAAAAAAGAAAAAAACAAGACAGTATAGGCATTAGTAACAGTAACCCTAGAAACGTTTCAAAATTTTTCTTGTGGACACCATGAAAATGTAGGGAAGAAGGCATGGAATTTATAAGAGCCCGGCTAATTGGAAGGCTACTTTAAAATAGCGGTCCCCAACCTTTTTGGCATCAGGGACGGGGTTTTGAAAAACAGCTGGTGGGGGGGGTTGGGAAGGATGGGAGGCGGGAGCAGGGACAGGACTAGAGGCGAAGCTCAGGCAAGCTTCGCTGCGGCTGGTTCCTAACAGGCAGGGGTCTGTATCTATCTGAGGTCGGGGCGGGGCGGGGGCGGGGCGGGGGCGGGGTGTTGGGGGGGTGGTTATGGACCACTGCTTTAAATGACTCCAATTTGTTAGACCAGGTAAGGGTTGCAGAGGCTGAGCAGGTAGGGCAAAGAACCCTGAAAGAGAAAGAAATTATTGAAAACGGCAAAGAGTAGCAGAAGGTGATGAAAACCAGACAAATAATCCATACTAGAATGTCAAATTCCAATTACCCAGAAACTTCCTAGCCACCAACTATGGCAGGTACGTGCTACTTGCTGCACTGCTGTTTGACATTATGGCTGCTCTCTCTTTCCATTTGGTAACTGTTTCTGATGTGCCAGAACGTTTTCATTTATAGTACTTGTTAATCGTCATCAGGCAGCAAACACAGATGGCACCAGTCAGGTCTGCCTAGCCTAACTCTGGGGAGAGCTCGCGCGCCCTCTGCCGGTCAGCTCCACACCGGAGCAAGAGC